CCATTTAAGGAGTTCTGCAAAGATCGAAATAAATCGTAGTCTGATGGTCCAAGGTCAGGGCTATATAGTGGATGCATCAAAAGTTCCCAGCCAAGCTCACTCAGTTTTTGGCGAGTGACCAAAGATGTGTGCGGTCTAGCGTTGTACTGGTGGAATATGACACCTTTACGATTGACCAATTCTGGTAGCTTCTCCTTGATGGCTGTATTCAATTTGTCCAACTGCTCATAGTAGACATCCAAATTAGTCGCTTGGTTCCTTGGAAGCAGCTCAAAATATCCGACACCCTTCCAATCCCACCAAACAGACAGCATAACCTTCTTTTGGTGGATATCAGCCTTTGAAGTGGTTTGAGCTGGTTCACCATGCTTGGACCAAGATCGTTTTCGACTAACGTTGTTGTTAACAATCCATTTTTCATCTCCAGTTATGATTCGTTTTAAAAACGGATCGAATTCATTGCGTTTAAGGTGCATATCACAAGCGTTGATTCGGTGTGTTAAATGAATTTCTTTTAATACATGTGGTATATATATATATATATATATTTCTTCAAATAAATTTTCCATAATTTTCGGATGTTGGGCGTACCAGGACTTAAACACAGGCTAAGATTCGTTTATTCAGGAAAATGTTCGATCTATCCAGAAGAAGTCTAATAGATGTATCAAAATAAGAATACAATATTCAATTAATTTCAAGCTTCACCGCCCAATTCTACAACTGTCTAAAAGCACGAGAAGCTTTTTACGTCGGAACTTTCTATTTTCGCTCTAATCACATTTGTTGTTCACTATTAAATTCGCCGCATAGAAGTTTACTTTGGCATTGTCCAATATATTTACTTACTGACAAATATACATGCAGGCATACCCACCTGTGTTTTACAACTTAAGACCACCTCCAGCTTAACTACAGTGCGCAGAGGATATTCTCATTTCATTCAACACCCACAAACGCAGAGAAGGCAACATGTCAACGCACAAATAACAACGCAAAAGAAAGAAGAATAAAAATTATCTTCGCACTGTAAATAACCCACGTGTTACGAGTTCATATGTATGTACATATGTAGATACATTTGTAGAGTTGTCTTGCAGCTGCAAACAAAATTCCACGGTATACTCGCATGTTCATTGAGTCGTTGTCATTTTATTGCATGCACCACGCCAGAGGGTCTGACAAATAACCGCCCTGCAAATAACACTGACGTACAATACACCGGGCAGGAAAGTTGGGTTAGCAACAGATTTGGGAAACCGGCAGACAGATAAACAGGCTTACAAACAACCAGGAAAATGGGTGGGCTAGAAGGAAGGAGAATAGGAAGGAAAGGACGAGAAGTTACGCATCTTGGCAACTGAGTTTCCTCTACATTTTATCTGGTTTTGTTATTGCAATTTGTTCGCATTTTTCCCGTTTCAAATTTATCGTGTGGTAGGCGGCAGTTGTGACAAGCCAAATTGTCGCTGGCACCCACTTATCGGGTAGAAATTATGACCACAAGGATATTCACCGGCCTACCAACTGACATAAAGCTGTCGTAAATGCTTAAGTGTGTCAATATTTACGATTGCCTTTGAAGTTTCATTGCGATGAAAGCTTTTTTACCACTCGGTTGTAGATATATTTGTACACAATGCCAAAGCTTGCGTATTAAACTTGCTATCTGCATACATACTAATATATGTATATACATTTAAATTGACTTAGCTTTAAAATTTATTTAAATACACTTTGTTGTACTTTTGATTTAATGAAAATATCCCTATCCGACATGAAATTTATCAATTCAAGTGGCAAGGCAGCGTTGCTATGTTCGCCGGTCTACCGGTGTGTAATTAGGCTCATTAGGATCGTAATGTGTTCAGTCCATCGTTGGCACTTGGCCTTGAGCTATCGACCGCGCTTAGACTGTTCATATACATTTTTGGACCGCAGAAAGATGGTGGGTTGAAAGCAATTGTTACTGAAGACGAAAGTTCGGTTCATCATTATGAAAATGAGTCGAATTAAACTGCAAAGAATTGTCGGAAAAAGAGCACAGGCAGCTGGCAAACTCATGGCAACGGTCTCTTGGTTTCTATATCTGGAGTATACTACACTTCAATCCTACCATTTGTCCAATGCTATTAAAAAGAAAAGACGTACACAAAAGCTACGCCACGTTGGCTGGCCTGCACAGGTGGGCTTCCTGTATTTCGAGTGGCCTACAAGACGGACTTGGCCCCAAGTTATTGTTACCTATTTCCAGAAATAAAAAAGATATTGATGCTTTGTAATCGCTGAAGAAATTTTTCGGCCGAGCTCCTCCTCTCATTTGTAGTTTTTCGTCTTGAGGTTTTTCCAACAAATGGAGGGACCTACAGTTTATACTAAGGCGCCTCCGAACGGCTGATGGTTTTTTTACGAGAAGCCTTTATTTCAGGTCAGAAGTACACTCGGAGGAGTGGACATTCTCTGCCGAGGAGCGACCGCAATTGGAAGATTTTGACTTCATTTTTTAATTAAATTGATTTTCCATAACTTTTGGATGTTGCTGGCAACGGGATATCATTGCGAGCATTCCGAATGTCAGTACTCAACGCTAACAGCTTGGCCGCCGAGCTTAGGGTTAAGAAATTAATCACCAATTAAATTGAAAAAAGAAAATTATTTGATTTTTTATTTCAACTTCTTATCGCACTTTCCGCGAACACATAAACGATCTCTCGTCGCCATCACGTATTAGGGATATTATATTTCTATAAGAGAAATAGCAATAGTTTCAACTCCTTGCTAAGGCCGTTGCTAAGAATCATGTGAGCGGTATAGGATAATAAGAGATTTCGGAAGTGTATGGCAATGTGAATAAGCCAATCTTCTGCTCTGAGGTCTGATTGTGTTTACGGACCTAGAGAGAACGGCGTTTAATTTTGAGAAGCTTTTATTATAAAGTACAATATATCAGGACTCCACAGTCAAGAGTCGAACTACGTTTAGAAAAAAAAATTCTATACTCTAAACTTACAAAGACTCGACCACATGACCCTCAGCAGGATGCTCCAATTAATGACTCTGTGGCAAAAGAAAACTAAATTTCTATCTCATAAACTCTATTGCCGACTCGTCGGAATTTATTATTGTTGTAAATGTAGCAGCCAACTAACCCCGTCTAGGAGCAGACGGGACTAGTCTAACTTATCGAAGTTATCCAACGTAAGGTCCAGGATACGAGTCTTTTTGACGGTTTCGGTTAAGAGTAAGAGAGGGTTTAGGTGAGTAGGTTTTGATGGGCACGAAAAGAAGTCTACGCAGTCTCATCGCATACAAGACATACATAGGGATGTCGGGGCCAAGTCTGAATAAGTAGGAATTAAGTAAACTACAATATACAGATCTTAATTGCGCCCGCATTACTCGGGTCTCTTGGACTGCATTGGGCACCGCTCACTGAAAGAGACATTAAAAAGATATTGGGTTTCTCTCAGTAAATGCCGTTTGAAACTCCGTTCTATCCAACGATTCTTATCTAAGTTGCTGAATGGAGTAAATGTAGTCGAATACTCCCTTCCTGATACGCCTAGGTCATGGTGCTGGCTCCCGACGGTGACATCTCAGCTGATATTGCTTGTACAATACATCTCAGCATTATGCTCCTTAACGCGTAACATAGATGTTTCACTGTGCAAGTGATGCTTCGGTGACATCAGCAGGTTTGATCTCACCGTCTTAATGGCGGTACTCTTATAAGCTTGTAGCTACTTCATCTGCTTCTCGCTATTCCAAATCAGAGCAGCGTAATTCATAACTGGCCTTCCAATTTCCTTGTATGTTGTGAACAACTTTTCTTTGTCTTTTCCTCAAGTCCTGCCGGGTAACGCTTTGACTATTTTGGGTTGAGGCTCTGTACTTTTGTGGGTCGATGCGCATTCAAATCGAAAGTAACCTCCAGTAACTTTGAATTGTTAATTATCGGAATTTTTTCGCCTACGACTTTCCCCTCGAGTTCGAGCCGGTACTCCTTCGTCCAACTGAACACTTAACTTATGGGCAATCAATATCAGTATCAATCAGATATCCATTCTCAACACTTCTTCTTTGCTCGGCGCCATAAAATACTAGCAATCATCTGCTACACAATCAGACTTGCTCTCGTATAACATGTGAATGACCCAATATACGTACATAAGTAAATTTGTGAAATTTTGAAAGCTCAATTCATAGCTGACCAAATTTAAGTATCTCATCAAACCATCAACATTCCCTAACCAGCGAAAGCTTTTGCAATCATTTCGCTATCAATCACTGCCGTCGATAAACTTAGTTATCTTCATGGACGGCAGACAGTCCAGCCAACAACGTACAGTCGTTTGCAAGCCCACGCAAAAGCCGTTCATAGTACACACATACATGTATATATAATTAAATGGGCCACACACGGACATAACTCAAATAAATATTTAATAAACTCAACACAGTAAATCAAAATGATCAAATGCAATTTTAAACATTCTTACAATTTTTTTTTAGACATGAAACGTTTCAAAAATAAAATGATCAGGTATTTTGTTGTTTAAAATGTTGTTAAAGAAATTTTTTTTGGAATTATGAAAATTTCTTTAAAAGCAAATTTATTATATATTGTACTTAAAATAGTGTTATAACTTATTAAAACTAACAAACATATTTTCTAATGCATAAGCATATGCCGTTTTCCGAATTTTTTCCAAACCAAAATATTTTTTCAACACAAATCGGAATTAAAATGTTGCTCAACAAAATATATTGCCAAAAACAATTTTTCAGATTTTTTTCTTCGCAACAGTTTCCTACACAGCCCTCAATTTCAATATGCATAAGCCTAAGTGTTTTGACATTAATTCAATAACAATTTTTTTTAACTATAACAAATTACATTTTATCAATTGTGAAATTATTTTTTTTATATATTTTTAATACTGCACAATTTTTGTTTAATTTACTTGTTAAATAAAATATAAAAAAAATTTTACTTATAGAAAAAACATATTTAATAGTAAATTCTTAAAAAACTACACATAACACTTATTTTTATCTGAATGATCTTCCAATTCACAGGGGAACATAATCTTTACACATCTCGAGTGTGCTTTGTACATGACTTCCGCGCAAACTATCCTCTTTTCACGATCGTCTATTTCTTGTACTCTTCCCTGTTCATCTTCTTGCCTCGCTTTTTGGTACAACGCCTCACGCTGAATCAGCAATTTCCCATCCGCAACGCGCGACACGGGAGTTTTAAAAGGCGCCACACGTATGTGCGCATTGCTCAGCTTCGCTAAATTATTATCGATAGCCTCATTCAAATCACAGTTGCTAATCTTTGTGATCACTGACAAATTATCATATTGTTTCGGCAAATCGACAAGTTGATAGCATAGTTGAAGTATTTCCTCTTTGGTGGCGCCCAAATTCAATAAAACCGCCAAATTATCGATCATGATGGTGGTGCTGACACGTTGGTCGGCGGTTTCGGATATATACTCGCATATGTCGTTCAATATGTAGGTAGTGATGAGACGTTCATCTCTCAGCCATTTGGATTTCATACCCTTCTGTGCCATATCTGTTAGTGGATCGACCACATTGAGAATTCTATCGAGAAAAATCTTTGCATTGTAGCCGAGTCGCATACCGGCGTTGAAATAATGTTGGAAATTTTGCTGTAGACAGACTAGCACAGTACCGGTGTTAGTGATGCGCAGTCTATCGCGGAGTAGGCAGCTGAATAGGAAACTGCCATCCATATTTGCCTCCTCGCTGATGTGTACGAATTTTGGCAATACTTTGTCGGTCAAACCACAAATAAAGAGTACTGAAGCTGCCATATTGGTGTTGATTTTGCTGTTGTTTTCAAATTCGTTTGGACTGGAATGAAGAAATCATGATGAATTAGTTCTCATTAATATCAAAATTCCACAATTAATTGTCTTTTAATAAATGCAAATTAAATCAGGTTCAAACTTAAAAAACAATTGAAACAAATATAATAAAAACAATATATAAATTAAAAACTTAAAAATTGTGTTAACAAAAATATTTTAAAAAAATTGTTAAAAATAAGAAAAATTAATACAAAAAAAAATTAAATAAAATAAAAAAATATATAAAATAAAAAAAAAATATATATAAAATAAAAAATATTTGTATAAAAAGAATAAAAATTAAAAATAATTAAACATCATTAAAATATTGCTAAAAATAAAATAAAATTTAAAAAAATAAAAATTAAAAAAAAAAAATAAATACAAAAAGTAGAAGTAAGAAAAATTAAATCAAATTTAAAAAAAAAGGAAAAAGAATTATAATTGGTCAAAATAAAAAATTTTAAAATATAAAGGAAAAAAATTGTAATTGGTAAAAATAAAATATAAAAAAAATGTTTAATCATAACACTTTCGTAATTCTTTTTTTTTTAATATTTTATTTTAATCAATTATATAACCTGTATGTGTTAATTACATACATATATGCTTCTCTTCGATGTTTGTTGGGTTGCATACAGCAGAGTAACTGACCAATCGTCAGCATTGCTTGGCGCCAGCATTCCGACATATGAACACAGCTGTGTGAGACTAAAAAATTTAATTTGAGAATATATTAAAAGAAAATAAAATTAAAATTGATTCATCGTTAGCGATAAATTCAAGCGTTTTCATTGCATTGGCCTTTGATGGTATTATTAAGAAATCCCCTCACGAATATTTAAACCACTTTAGCCTATGAGTATTCAAAAAGGAGCGGATAAATTATGCACGAACTTCAAAAATGAAACTTGGCACGCGCGGAAATATATTACTTTCGTCGGCCGTAGTTTAATATAATTAAATTAATAAAAAATATTGTGGAGTGGTAGACTAGACACGTGGCGAAACAACGTGTTTAAACTATTCAATGCAAATTTGAGCACGAAGGCAGCGATGGAAATTAAATTCGAAAACTGAGAACCATAACTTTGTGATTGAGATAATTTATTAAAATAAAATTTCATATTTTTAACCTTATTATTACATCCATAGCTTTTAATTGCAATGTGTACATACTTGATATTGAAGTAAAAAGCATTTTTTTTTTAATTTGCATTATAACAAATTGATTTTTATTATGTAATTAAATCTTTCGTAATAAACAAATTGTTTGGCGTAATTATAAAAAAAAAGAAAACTAATTTAAAAGCAAGATGATACACAAATATAGCACTTTTTTTGCGTAATCTCAGCTGATGTTTCTCAAACTTTGACACCCAATTCACCGGGGCTTATAATCTTTATACTCCTCTCGTTGACCTTGTAGAGTACTTCTTTGCGCACTTGTTCCAGTTCATAGCCGCCATTCTGCTGCACTGCCTCCTCATTATCCTCCTGCTTCACAGCATTATTCAACACCTCACGCTCTATCAATAATTTACCGTCCACATCGCGCGATGCGCCACTCTTCAATTGGGCGGCGCGTATACGCAGTGTGCCCAACTTAGCCACATTATTATCGATCGCCTCATTCAAATCACAGTTGCTGATTTTTGTGATTACCGTTAAATTTTCATATTGTTTTGGCAATTCGGCGAGTTCATAGCATAGTTGGAGTATTTCCTCTTTGGTGGCGCCCAAATTCAATAAAATCGCCAAATTATCGACCAATATGGTGGTGCTGATACGTTGCTCGGCGGATGCGGACACATAATTGCGTATGTCGTCCAATATGTACTTAGTGACGAGACGTTCATCTCTCAACCACTTGGATTTCATACCCTTCCGTGCCATATCCGTTAGTGGATCGATCACATTGAGAGTTTTGTCAAGGAAAATATTAACATTATAACCAAGGCGCATGCCGGCATGGAAGTAATGTTGATAATTTTGCTGGAGGCAGACCAACACAGTGCCGGCGTTAGAGATGCGTAGCCTTTGGCCAAGTATGCAGCTGAAAAGAAAGCTGCCATCGATGTTCGCCTCTTCGCTGATGTGTACGAATTTTGGCAGTTTTTGCTCATTCAAGCCGCAAGCAAAGAGTACAGATGCAGCCATATTGTCGTTGTTATTGTTCTTGTATTGTAATTACTGAAAATAAAGCGAAATAATTCGAATTAGTTTTTTCATAGTTTTTTTTCTCTTGTAAAATTCTACAACTATTAATGGTAAATAAAAAGAAAAAGAGCAGGATATCGAATTTAATTGAAACTACAATATTTTTAGTGCAATAAAATGTTTGGATAGTCGCATTTTTTCAGTAACTGTCCTTAAAATTAAATTAATAACTATATACACACACACATAAACACACACAGATATACATACATAGATCCAGTTGGAACATTCATCAACGCCAGACACACTCTTTTAATTTGTTCTGTCCTCTCGCTGTAATACATATTTGTTACTTGCTCTTCGACGCTGCTGAATGGTTTTTAGGCGAACGAAGTATAAAATAATATCTGAATAATATAATTTGCAGCAGTAACATGAGTAAAGTGGCATATAATTTTTGACACTTAATTTTAATGACCGGTAATTAATATTCACGCATACACACATGCAGACATGGTTTACCATTTAAAGTATAAAATATCACTCAAAGGAAAATTACTCTTTTATAAACATAGTTAAACGTAAACAAACAAATTTAAACAAATTTAAAAAGATAAAAAAAATTAATAATTTAATAATGAATGTTATATTAAATTAATATTATAGTAATTGTATAACAAAACGGAATAAGAAAATGTAAATAAAACAAAATTAAATATAAAATTTAAAAATTAAATAAAGTAAAAGAAAATAAATTTAGAAAATAAAATAAAATTGAGAGAGAAAAATAATAATAAAATAAATTAATTATTGTAATAATAATATAATAAATAAAAATTCAGACATACAATAAAAAGGTAAATAAATTAATATTAAATTATAAAATAAAATTAAAAGAAATTATAAAATGAAATAAAACTAAATTATATATTGAAATGAAATAAAAATTTAAACTAAAGTAGATTTAAATAAACTGAAAATAAAATAAAGTAAGATGAAATTAATTAATTATTTAATTACATACAAAATAAAATATAATGAAGTGGTATAAAATATAATGCACATAACAATTAAAAAGTCAATTAAAGTAATTTATATTAAATAAAAAAATTTAAAATAAAATAAAATAAAATAAAATAATTTGAAGTGAAGTAAAGTAAATTAAACATAATATAATGTTACAAAATGAAACATAAAATTAAATTATAAAACAAAACAAAACTATATTAAAATAAAATAAAGAATATAAATAAAATTTAACTAAGCGAAATTAAAAATAAAAAAGCAAGAAGAAATTAATTAAAATAATTTAAATGTAAAATAAAATAAAAAATTAAAAACCTTAGAAATCAATGAAAATAGTTTAAATTAATTCAAAACAAAATAAAATTAAATTAAATTGATATAAAGTAAAATAAAGGAATTTAAAGTAAAGTAAAGTAAATTAAACATAATATCATATAATGTAACAAAATGAAATAAAAAATTAAATTTTAAAACAAAATAAAATTATATTAAACATAAATAAATAATATAAATAAAAATTAAGTAGGCGAAATTAAAAATTAAACAAAGTAAGAAGAAATGAATTTTAATAATTTAAATATAAAATAAAATATAAAATTAAAAAAATAAAAAACCAATTAAATTATTTCAAATTAAATAAAAAAAAATTGAGTTCAAAAATCAAATATAACACTAAACGTACCAAGCGGGTTCGAATGACCCGTTTTGACAGTTTCTGTCGATCATTTGACATTCTGTAAATTCTTATATTAGCCGATTATGCAAAATCCCACTTTCCGTTTTTCTCGCAGCTTTTTTTTCGACACTAATTCTTTACCTACCCTACGTACAATAGAGGGTCATCATTTGACTCCATATGAAGTTTATGTATTTTTTAGCATTTTCCAACTAGTTCTGAATTCAGATAGGCTCCTCAAGTAACTCTTCCAAGCAATTGCAATACACGGCAGTTTTGGTTGCATTTTTACAAATTTCTGGTATATTCAACTGGACTTGAGTATGGTCAGTGAGAGAGTTGGAAAGAATTCGACAAACAACTGAAGTAAGTACAGGTAAAGAAGTTTGAATTTCTGAAGATGATCAAGGCGAAAGTCAAACTGATTTTCGAGACAAAGAGGAAACTCATGGTGATAATGTTGTTGCCGATGAAAATTAATATTTTGGAAACTCCGTAGAGGACAGGGGCGCCAAAGATTCTAATCGGATTCTAAAAGTGATAGTGAACAGAATTTTGAAGACACCAGCACGGCTGTTCATGGAAATGTTCAGTAGCGAATACGAGAAGTCAAGGCCAACGGCACACGCCAAAAGAAATATTATGCCTGGTAAAACTTCATCCGCTTTTTTCGTGATGATAGAAAATATATATATTGAAAATATAAAGTAATGTGCAGAAGAAGAAGCTTAACGAGTTTTGGAGACTGCATGGGAGCTGCCTATAAAAAATTATATGCATTCATTGAAGTATTAAATACACGTGGCGCCTATCAGGTAAAAAATTTATTTATTTCTCAGCTAAGGAATTCAAAATCCAGACCTCTCTTTTTTTCGAAATGCAGTGGGTAGGAACGACTTCTCTGAAATTGATGATGTTGCAACTTTTTTTCATTTAAAAAATAAAAATTTTGTACTAAAAAATCTATGTTTATTTATTATTTAGAGGTGTCATTGGACTCTTTACCAATATAAAATAGAATAGAATAACATAAAAATAAAGTAAGATTAAATCACTGAAAATAAATTAAATTAAATATAAATGCTTTCTGATATAACAAAGCTAAATAAACTAAAATAAAAAAAGTAAAAGCAAAAAATAATATAATAAAGCATAATACCATTAAATGGCGAAGAATAATATAAAATACTAGAATCAGTTAAAAATATGAAATAAATTAAAATCAGTTAATAAAACAAAATTCAATAAAAAAAATTTAACCAAAATAATGGAAATAAATTTTTATATTAAAACAAAATAAAATGAAATAAAATAAAATTAAAGTAAAAAAACATGAAATAAAGCAAATTAAATTGGTTATAAAATCCTTAAATTTTTAATACTTTACACATTTCGGTTATTTTGTACTTGTTTCTCTTTTTTTCAAAATAGTTTAATAATTTATTTCGAAAATCCTATTTTTAACACTATTTAAGCCAACAGCGGTCACCGTATTATTTGGAGAGATTTTATGATAACTAAAATCATAGAGAGTTATAAAACATTCTTTTCTAATTCCCTTTTATAGGGTCAATGACTTTTTAAATATTTATGATAAAACCCAAAAACTAACCTATTGAAATTAAGGGATAAGTTTGAGTGAAATAACAAACGTTCGCTTAAGAGTAGTAAAAAAATTTTGTAAATAAAAATCAATAACTAAATAAAAAAAATAATAAAAAACGAAGTAATGGCCCATGAGGGGATCGAACCCGCGACCTTCGCGTTATTAGCACGACGCTCTAACCAACTGAGCTAATGGGCCAGTTATAAATCAGCTGCCAAATAGCAAACGCATACTGAACACTAGAAAAGAGAACAAGAATAGAACTACAAAAGTAGATACAATACAATACCTTATGAGTGAGAGTGACCATAAAGAGTGCTGAGAACATTCAATCAAAACCATTTGGGAAACAAAGAAAAACATAAAGCCCGCCAGTCTCTCAAGCGATCAATGATCACACGCACCCACATGGATATATTGCCGTTAAACAATGAGACGAACAACTTTTACACTTTTTTTTCAAAACGTATGAAAAATGTTGTCACCAACAGATTTTTCGTTTTGTTTTTATAAAAGTACATATGGTGAAAGCATAAAAAGCTGATAACCGACCAGCTGTAAAAGCGAGGATTCTACTTTGAGAATTTTCTATTGAGATAGCGGAGTATTGCGTAGTAGTATTGGAAATTTTTGAGCTGTTAAAAAGTTTTAGTTTGGATCGTGTCATGCTATTTTTTTCAATGCATTGGTTATGAAACGCGTGGCAGCAAAACTCGTTCCAAAATTTTTGAACTTTGAACAAAAAAACAGCAACGACTGAAGTTGCTCGAAGTCAAGAGTTGTCCAAAAGTAATAGTCTAACAATGTCCTAGCTTCCATATTGGTTAGACATACCTCCGTCTGATTTTTTTCAATTTTTGAAAACAAAGCGAACATTAAAACCCCGTCGCTTTACAGCCATAGATGACAATTAAAGCACATCGCTGAAAGAACGAACGGCTATCTTACGAATCGAGTGTGAGAAGTGTTCGGGGAGTAGAAGTAGCGCATACACAAGAGCATAACATCTTTAATGGGAACATTTTTGAAGCTAAAAATATTAGTAGACTAATAAATAACTATTTTGTTCAAAAACAAATAAATTTCGATATTTTTTGAACACACCTAGTACTTTGATTTTGCTTATTTTGTATTAAATTAGTGAAGCGAAAAACTTGTACACGTCTAAGTATTGAATTGGAAAATTAGCTGTTCTATTTCTACATGCCGCTTATTATTGATTGGTGCAAGGGGTGTCCTTAATATTTCCAGATTTGGCAACCTTAATTTTGTCATCTTGCAACTGTAACTTTATCGTGAAGTTTAACATTTTTGATGACATAAATACTAAGAGTCTTTTGACATACGAACGACCCGATTGGTATAAATTTTGCGTTCAGAACGCATGTTTTCGAGATGGCTCAGTCGGAATGATTCAAACTCATGTAAAAGGGTATAAGTCCTGATGGAGAATATTTTAAAAATAAAAATAAAGGGATTTTCGATTATTATTATTTGTTTTTGTTCTCTAATCTCAAAATGTAAAAAATAATCTTCATATTATAGGCAACATGTCGTGGCGTAAAAATATATTTTTATTTCAAATAGATTACAAAATAAAATAATCTCAAGGATTTCATTTTTTTATAATAATATTTTAAACACATTGCAATTTTTTCAGTTAAAAATTTTTTAATATTTTTTTTTTGTCTAAATAATTTTTTATTTTTTTTATTTAAATAATTTTTTATTTTTTTATTTAAATAAATTTTTTTTTATTTGAATAAATTTTTTTTTATTTAAATAAATTTTTTTTTATCTTAATAACTTTTTATTTTTTTTTATTTAAATTATTTTTTATTTTTTTGAAATAATTTTTAACTTTTTTTATTTAATTAATTTCTTAATTTTTTTTTATTAAAGCAAATAATTTAATTTTTTTATTTATTATTTAATTACATTTTAAATTTTCAGACAAAAATAAAATTTTCGACAAAAGTTGTATAAGATATTACAAAAATATGCAATTCAAATTTTTACTCAACTCTCCAGCTTTAGAATTAAAAAACCTTCTTTGTGAACTTTATGGAAAAAGCTATTTTGCAGCTTTTTATTGCATTTCCTTTAAATTTTTTGTAATTACTATATATATTACTTCTAAAATGCCATCTTCTGCATAAATGAAATAATAAACTATCCATCTTCTCATTTCAGTTGAGCCAATTAAGCTTCAACTCGCTTGGTCTAACCGAAAACTTCTGACAGCTTTATCGCTGATGAAATTATTTCCTGAAGCACAAGGGAAATAAAAGTACACGTATTTAGCTTGCAAAAAGTTAAAAGAATAGGAGCACATAAAACGGAGGTCTGTGTTAACAGAACACTTTCGGATGGCATTGAAAACACTTTTTAAGCAAGACATATACAAACATACATACATAGATATAGATATATATATGTCGATGTATATACATATATACCGAGAAGCTCATATTTAGCTATATATATTTGTATATATATGTACATACACTTGGTATGTATATCAATGCAAATGTCAAGCTCCATTCAGCTTTTCGACTTTCACGAAGCTTACCAATCAGCCAGCCAGCCAACCAATGAATTGCCTATGAGTGCTGTAAGTAGTCAGCTTTTAATAAAGCACCACGATTATCCACGCGTCAAGCATATGCAATATTTATGTTCTTAATAAATAAATGAATATTCACAATAAAAAGTTTTTCTGCGAAAATAATGTAGCATTTTAATTGAAATATCTCAAGTGCATAAAATTAATAATGATTTGAATTAAAGTGACAATTGCTTTATTATTAAAAATTTTTTTTTTTCAATTTTGTAGAGCACAAATTGTCCTTATGTATTTATATTTGTAAGCATGTTATAATCGTTTGGACATATGTAAGCAACCAACGTAAAGCATGCGATAAACCACAACACACACACACACACACATATATGTGCACCCTCAACAATTGTGTAGCACCTGGAAAAGCTGTGTTTTGTGAAATATATTAAAATTACAATTTCAACCACAATTGGTATTGTGTTAAGTGGCCACGGCTTCTCATTTATTAAACTTTTTTTGTTAATTGCCCGAGTGTCTCTTCTATACTATATATGAAAGCACTTGTGATATATAGATATGCGAATAAGTAGTTTTTGAGAAAAGCAATTAATATTTTTAATTAAAAGTTATTTATTTAAATACTCAGGCACCACAAGTATTTTACATTCGTTTGAAAGCAAATTTTTTTTAATATTTAAAATTTAATTGTATTCGGTGTAGTAAAAAGAAATCCATTATTTTTGCATAAAATTCAATAATTCATTTTTTTCTTTTCGTATCCCGCCTGATACAAGTGGTTCCCAATGGTACGATTTTTTGTGCAATTTTTAGCTCTTGGGCAAACGAAATAGTGCTCACATTACGGTCGGAAGCTGTCCTTGATTTTATCGGCTATTGGCTTACCACTCTTTTACATCAAAATTACCGGAACGAAACCAAAAGTGTGCATGATTGACTGTAACGGTATCAGAACTATAAGAACTACTCACATTTTCAATCGCTTAGCTTGCGTTTTCACCCTGAGCGAAGAAAAACTGCAAAATATAACGTGATTTCCCTTTGCTATGGTCTATCTTTGACGAACTTTCAAACAAAACTGAATCAACCAATCAAAAAACTGTCAGAAAAGCTCTTCTAGTACGAAATGTCATCTTTCTAACGTCATCTAACGGAACCCGATCGGACTTATGCAACGCGAGTTACAGACAAATCTCGCCATCTATTGGAAAAACAATGGATTTCTTTTTACTACACCAAATATTTCGTTAAAAATATAACAAAAAAGAGCTGTCTTCGGCCAATGCGAGGTATTTATAGACCAAATAGAATGGATGTATTAAAATTTAAGATTAAACGCACCAAATTTCTTGTTTTTAGACGCTTTTTGGAATGATTTTTAGTCCAAAACCTCCTATCTGAACAAATCGGCTGTATGGGAGCTATAAGATATAGTCCTCCGAATGCGATGAACTTCAGTACCAATTTGGAGTTTATGGTATATGTGTAAAATACTAAATTTCATATTCTTAGTTGCTTTTTTGACGAATTTTTTACCCATAACCACGGGTCTGAACCAGTCGATTGTATGGTGGCTATAGAATGTAGTCATTCGATTTCGACGATGATAAGTAGATTACCACATTTCTTGCTCTCGGATTCTCTTTCGATGGATTTTTGACCAGCAACCTTAAGTCAGAGTGATCCGATCTGGCCTTTTCCGACAAATGTACCAGTGCACTGTGTACTAAGTTGAGTTGAAATATCTCAAAAAAAGTTTGCGTACAAATAGACAAATAGACAAATAGACGGATAGAAGGCTAATCAACTCGTCATTTTGACGCCTCTTCTCTTCTGCTGGTGCTTACATACTTATTTACTTCGGACCAAAGTTAATGTGCCATTTCATGTATATGAGAGATATACATACTTATTACACAATACTTTTGTTTTTTCAATTGAGCTTTTGTATGTAAACTTATTTTATGTGTTTATGTGCTTATAAATAAACTTTTTTTAGAAGCTTCCTCTTTGCAAATTATTTCGACGTGCTTTAAAGCATCCTCATTATGATAGATTTTAATTCTTTGACATGCTTTTCCTTCCAATACCGAAAGTTGCAAAAGATTAGTATCAGAAAAGCAGAATCTTTCTTTGATATCTCTTGATTCAAGCTATGCTAAACAACTTTTGCATCGTCTTAAGTTCACAGGTGACTGTGGCAAATATTCTGTAAGAGCTTTTGATAACTTTTCCGGTGCACCCGGATCGGTTGCAATTCACAAAAATGTATATGGATGTGGATGAATCTATATGAATCTATAGGGAAATTTGTGAGTGTTGGAATAGGAGGACGGCTGATAAACTAAGATATTTTTGCAATATTCCAAAAATGGAAAAATATATTATGTTCTGATGAATCATAAATAGAATATAAGTATAATTTGAAGGATTCAAATAAAAGTAGACCAAAGCCATAACAAATATATATTTAAGTACAAGTATGGAGCATATCGAATAACGTAAATGAATTACGTAAAGCTGTCATATGCCTACAGTATACGGATAATAAAAATACCTCCAGGCACTGGAAAGGCTGGTTATACACCGAAATTCTATAGAAGTCTTAGACTGGCTCGATCACTTTGCCGATCTCAATGTGATTAAGACCTTGTTGAAGATTATGAGCGAGAAAATTAATCCACAAAATTGTAAGGGAAATGGATCACTGTTAAAACGATCAAAGAATCCAGAAGTTATTAGTAACCAGATTTCTTAGATGCCAAAGAGAAAAGCTAAAGGTAATGGTTTTAGTACAAAATATTGAACAATAAACATAAAAAAATTTAACTATTAAGGGGGGCAATTTAGTTTTTACCATTTCTTTGTAAATACCAGGAATATTAATAATAATAATATTACATAATATTTCAAGTTGTTTTATTAAGTGATTTGGCCTTATTTGTAATTAACCCGCCTTATAATTTCAGGACTATGTCAAAAGGTGGCGTGTAAAATAAATCTACAATATATTTGATAAATGCCATCAAATTATTAAACGTTCATATTTCTGGAAAATTAGAGAACCTGCGAGGTACGGAAAGTTCGGAGAGTTCGAAAAAAAAACTAATTACACCATTTTTTAAGGAGAAACTTGAGTCACTAGCGGTGTGAAATAGAAAATTTCCAAAAGCTCCCACGATTATCTTGAGCTCAAGTTGTGGTCTATAGAATTAGGCAAGCGTTATACTATAATAATGATTGATTTGGAGGGGCTTTAAGAAAGACGTCATTAATATAAAAAATCAGCTAAAAATGATTCTTTACCAAAAAGAGTACCAAAATCATGACAGTTCCTTTTAGAATGTAATTTTTGGCGTTGATATAGAATTCGGTATATTTGTCAATGAACAAACCTCAGCATCACACAGAACATGTAAAAACAAAAATTAATAACCTTAAGGATCATAAATCTTATGCAAATCTTCTGAATCCTAATGTCGACCCATCAGATGTTGGCATCGTCCATGCCGACGCACCCAACATCAGGACGGGAATCTGGACTGACTTGTAGAGTGTGGACTTTGTTCGGTCTTGTAGCAAGCGGTTCGCTATATAAATGTGTAAAAAAAATTAATGTACTCGCCAGCAAATTATAAGCTGATTTTGGAACCAACCAACCAACTCCAATGAAAAAGAGCAAGCGAGCTACCTTAATGATTAATTCAATTTCAATTTTGATACATTTTAATGAAATTGGTAAAGAGTTCAAAATTCTGACAGTACAAAAAAAAAAACAATCTGGAGGTCGTCAGAGTTTTGTATTTGGGGATAACAATATTTGGAGTACGAGATAATTGCACAGACGCTTTTTAATGATTTTAAATAATTATATTAAATTACGAACCTTAAGATAATTATCAAGTAAGAGCCCAATAATGTTTTTTGGAGTACAAAGCGTTGTGGTCATTGCAGTAAATGATTAATAACTAATTGGAACGCACTTAGAAATTTTAATTTAATTTAATTTTAAGCAACATTAAACAAAAAGTATAACTAAAACCGGGAAATAGAAAAGATGAGAACAAACATAATATTGAACTAATTGTATGATCATTTCATTTGAACTGAGCACTCTGTTTTAATTACAGTACATATGCTCTCAAATTTTAAATATGTACGTACACTTCTGCCTTCCACTGTAATGAATATGAATATTGGCAAGTAAAACCATGTAGATGTGTCATTGCAGGCAATTAAATTTTTCAATAAAAAAAAGAAATATTAATTAATTAACGTAAGCAAAAGCAACTTCATTGCGGTCCAATGACTTGCATTTCAAATTTAAAGGCAATTTTTATGGTAAATGACAATATATGTATACTCAAACTAAATAATTTATTCAATAAATTAATATATCTAAAGTAAGAGCTTTTTTCGTAATTTCAAAGAGCTTAAAAATTTTTTAATTCTTTTTCGTTTGTGACAATCATACTTATTCTAATTCCAAAATCAAATCAATCATTTCTCCACTAAAGCACAAGATAATGAAGCTACATTCAGTAAACTCGTTCGTTGGTGAAGGTTTAGGCTTTTTTACTGTAACTTTCGTGGAAACAATACGACATAACATATTTTATTGGTTAAAATGGTTTGAGAAATCTGAATGAAAACAGCATACATACTTTGCATGAATCACCCATAAATAGAGTCATATGTTTACCTGAAATTTGACATAAAGCCCCATTTGTAGAGTGTAAAATAATTTCTTGATATTGACTACCTCGACAAATCTAAGGGAAAAAAACCACAACAGCATTGTTTTCGCCCTCTTCGAAAATACTATCTCCTTAAAGGCAAAAACGCTGCGCAGGTTGCTGATAAGTTACATAATTTGTATGGTGAGAAGGCCTTAAAAGAAACACAGCGTCAAAGTTGGTTTGTCAAATTGCGATCGGGAGATTTCGCACTCAAAGATAAGCCAAGTTTGGGTTGGCCAAAAGAAGTTGATGATGACCATATCAAGGCTTTAGTCGAATCGGATCATCACACAAATGAGTCTGATTTGACTGGAGAGAAGTTGAGTACACCAAAATCTAGTGCTCATAATCATATACGACGCCTCGGACTGATGAAAAAACTTGATATTTGGGCACCACATAAATTGAAAGAAATTCATTTAACAAGCCACTCCAACGCCTGTGCTGTGCATCGTAAACGCAACTGCAGATGAAAAATTGATTGTTTACAGTACCGTCAATCGAAAACGCAAAAAACCACTTCAAATGCTGATATTCACCAAAAGCAGATTATGATATCAGTTTGGTGGGATTGGAAGAGTGTGGTATATTTTGAGCTGATTCCAAGGAACCAAACAATTAATTCGGTTATCCACTGTGAACAACTGGAGAAATTCAATAAATCCATCAACGAGAAGCGGTCAATCGTAAAGGTGTCATATTCCACCAGGACAATGCTGGGCCATACTCATCTTTAGTCACTCGCCAAAAACTAAAAGATCTTGGTTGGGAACTGTTGATGCATCCACCATACAGTCCTGACCTAGCGCCGTCAGACTACTTCGATCTTCATTAAGGGGACCCTACCCTGTTATTGCGCAAAAATCAAGCAAATTTTGTATTTTTTTTTGTGGGAGGTTAAAAAGGCGTACGATCTTCCGGTTTTGACTTTTAAATTTTTTTTTATTATTTGAAACGTCGTTGTCATTACTTGAAGATCATGAAATTTTCTACCTCCTGAATATCAATTGAAACAATTTTGGCGATAAATGTATTGCATAATGCTCATTGCAATTATAAAGCTAAATTTTTTTCTACTTTATTTTACTCCAATTACGTTATAAAAATATAAATAATTAATTATTAATGCTAATCTAAGGCTCAAGACGTAAAAAAACCTAAATACTTTGAAAAAGTTTTTAGATGAAAGAAATATAATGGACAGATCAAGCCCGAGGCTTGAAGTTAGATCGGAAAACATGTTTCAAAAAAAAAAGTTGTTTGAAAGTTCGGAGCGGGCGTGAGATAGGAGTGTTCGAGAAACTGGCATTTGAAAAATTTGAAAATATTCATCATATTGCAAAATTCCTCTACAAACTCTACAAATATATGACTTTTATTTTTTTGTAAAAGAAAAATCGATTTTTTGATTCAAAATTGAAAATGACGAGAGTATAAAATCGCTCTTGTTTTAGTTTTTTTTGAGTTCTTTAAAAAAGCGCCAGATTCCTTTGGGACAACCCCATTAAAGTGTATGAATACTGTAGAGTGATCGATCGAAAGTGGCGATTTTAGTGTCGTCAACTAAGAGCGACCTGGTCAACTCGAAAAGTTTGAAAGGCTACCTTTCCCAACATCGTATACATCGACGCGAAAGAAAAGCATCCAAGGATGCAAAGATCGAAGCTCTACTTAGGGTGGGGGGCTTTACAAAAAAACTGCCAGAAACGACCGCAGAGCATGGCAAGGTGGTGAAACGCTGAATGAAATGATCTTACGGCAACCGTCATTATTCTAACGACTTCAAAATTTTTGTCGTTTTGGAGGTCACCGATTCGGGTCTTTTGTAGAAACCAAAGAATGATAGCTCAATCCAATTACAGGGAGAACTAATTTTTTATAGAATGTAATCGAAAATTTCCAGAGAGATGGGAAAAATTAGTCGCTTCCGATGGATAATACTCTGAATGCTATATTTTTAACTTAAAAAAAACCTTCTTGAACACAAAAAACGTAATTTGTATTCCCAATACTTGATTAAAAAATAATGAATTTCAATAAAGAACAATTTTTTTTTTTTTCAATAAAATGCAAAAAATCGCTTTTATCACGCTTTTATCTCCGAAATCACAAGAAATTATGTGATATATGTATGTATGTAAATTGTAA